CGTGGTGCCTTGGCTTCCTTCAAGCAAAGGCTGAATGACATTCTTGGATCATTTAGACTACCAAACAGGCTGCGTGGACTGCCTGGCCCCCTGTAGTTCATTACCTTTCTCAATATTTCAAAAGGAGTTGAAAACCTAAAAAGAAGCCAGTCTCAGTGCAGGGACTCTGAGACGAGAGTGATTGGATCACTTACTGTACACGTGACCCAGTCAGGACTCTAGCAGCTGAATTGCGTACATATTCATACTTGCTGAGTGTTGTCTCAGAGACTCCACCAGGAAGACATCACAATAATAAATAATTGAAAACAGATTTTTCACAGACACAGAGAGCTTAGGACATGGCCTTGATATATTTCTATGAAGAAAGAAGCAAAATTAATAAAATATTCTGCTTGCAAGGATTTTAACTAAACATGTGCAGGGACATGTGTTGATACAGAACTGAATGGTCATAATGCTTGCTTACAGTCTTAAAAACAGCTAAAACCTAACAAGGAAACTGTAAAAAGTATTATAGCTGAAACCTCTAAACCAGTAAATATTAACATGAAAAGATCATATCTGGGCTTTACAGTTGGGAAAATGCTTCATATTATACCTAAAATTGATTTGTTAGTACAAGTTGTATTTTTTTTTAATTCTTGCCTTTCGCTGCGTATTAGGCACAACCAGACATAAAAAGAGTTTATTTTTACCAAATGTAAATTCATTTCCATTTGATCCAGATGTCTCACTTCACTTCTGGTATGAAGTATCTGCCCAACAGGCAGAAGATGGGTGAATTCATACACTTCATATATTGAAAACAACTCTGAGTGAAATATATTAGCTTGCTCATACCTTATCTTGGAAGGGCTGAACTGCATTCTTTTGATTTTATAGTCAAACACTGTACTTTACAGAAGCAAAGGTCAACTAGTACTTTACGAGAAAAGAAACCTTCTACTCCTCCCTGTTCATGTGAAAATATTACTTTTGGACTTGGCTTTTGTAAAGACAAGGAAAATTAATTATCACCTTGTTGTTGTTACTTTAAAGATCAAGCTCCAGATATAATCCTCAATGGGTAATTATTGTGAAGGACAATGATTAGAGTGTTTTCTTTTAGTTCTTGACATGTCGCTCCATTAAATCAAAACTGAATGAAACTGTAGAATGGAACCAATGGTAAAATCATGCCATCCATTTTATTTCCCCTATCTGATGTTCAAATACTTCCAAAAGATTGTTTTTTTTATCAGACACGGATAAATAAAGATGAGGATGAATAAAAGAACAAAAAAGAAGCTTTAATCCACTGGCTCATGTTCAAAGCACAAGACAGGGATATTTCTCTCCAAGTTCTGCAAACAATCACTGTTCCCATATTGGAGAGATCCCTTGGAATAGTAGGCACTGGGCAGAACAATGTTATTTTTAAGTGAAGCGACATGAGATAAGGATACATCAATGCACTATACACTTCACTGTTCTGTAATAGGCCCTCAAATTTCAACAATTTCTCAGTAGGCTTTTCCATGTGTGGGCTTTTCCATGTGTGGGGTTTGGTGAGAATTACTGCTGACATCTTATTTGGAGAACTGAATCCAGGACGAGTCTCAAGAGCTTGCCTTCCCAAAAGTGTCCATTTACGGAGATCCGAGGAAGGCGACAGTATACAGACTAGCATGTTTCAAGGCCTCGGTATATTCATAATGCATAAGCATCGTACTGACACAATTACAGATTAGTATCTGTTGTGCGCAGGCAGCAGAAGAGAATATTATATCTGATCTCATACCAATCACAGTTTTTTCTATCCCAAATGATACAGAGTTCAACGGGTATAAGAGCAGCACTGCACAAGAATAACCCTGGACTCTCCTGGGCCTGGAGCAAAAGCAATAAAGTGATAGAATTGTGAACCTTGAATTTGCTGAATTGCTGCCCCACAGCGACACTTTCTCAGAGTAAATGATTGCATTTCAGCAGCACTATCCCCTGATAATTTGCAAAGGCGAAGGCTCTGGGAATTTATTTATCCACTGTTAAGCAGAATTCCTTTCTTTCCTGTTTCCTGGCAGCTCAGAAAGGCCTCTGTATGCACATTATTTTTTCACATCCCACACATGCATGGGAGTAGTACCTAATTAAAAGGACAAAAAATACCATCCCTATTAAATAAAAAAACATAGAATAAGAATTAGCTGGTAAAGTGCAATTTCTCCACTTATTGTTTTAGGCCAGGAAAATGACTCTCTGTGCTATGGCAGTGCAATGCTTCTGGTGATGTAAGCCCCGTTTCTCCCTTTTAGCTGTGTTTTTCTTCATGCATGGCCATCATTACAGAGATCTGTCATCACACCCCTAACAGACGTGCTAACAAGAGTAAAAAGCTGTGCGTGACTTTCTGTTGTTGGACCCACTTCCAGAAATGAAGCCATCGGTCTTTATGAAGGTCAAGTTCAGAACGAGTTCCCAGAAGTTACCATTGAAGATGACGCACACCAAATGTTCCCTGAAACCAGTCTGGAAGTAGACATGGTTGTTACACTGTTTTTGTCTCCTCTGAAACACATTGGACAGAAATTCAAGTGAACAAAGTTTTTATTGGTGGTTTTTTCTGTTCTGTGTTGTTTCTTGCTTACACCGATCTTAATGTCAATAATCAATTAATAAATGAGTATTCACTGAAAAAGAGACAATTACATTTCCCAGTTAAAACAGCAGTTAAAACAAGAGTAAGAGGGACCTGCCGACTTACATGAAGTTACTATGAAATGAAGACCTTTGAAGCGGGTTCCTGCGCTTATTAACAGAATAAGAGTATTCTTCTTGTTATTGAAGTCAGAACCCTGGCTTTCTTTCAGGTAAAGGCCTGATGAGACCCTTAGAGCAATTAGCTACTAAATACCCAATGAGCCAGAGTGGCTGAATTTCACCTGTAGCCTTTTGTATGTTCAGGCAAATAAAAACAAATATTTTTTACTATCATAACATAATTAAAGGCAGTTTACTATAATCTGACACACAAACAAATTCTTGGAAAGAATTCCTGGAACGACAGAAAAAACACAATGTAACAAGCAATGATTTATAAACTGTATTTAGAAATTAAACTCCTCTATGACATAATTCTCTATTAAAATTAGCAAAATGGGGTAGTCAGTTGGAGTTGGCCTAATTTCCAACTGAATTACCATGGCTTGAAGCTCTCACAACAGTTGAGATCTGCAGTGTGATTTTTCTTACACAAGGTATTCTTTTGGGAAGTCATAACTTTTTTGAGGAAGAAGTTCATATGCAAGGCAGTATGCAATTATTTTCCAAAAAGGTCACTGCATCTGTTGGTTCCACCAGAGCTTAAAGATTCTTAATTGATTTTTGCTTAATTAGTCAGAATCATGTGTGCAGTGGAAGACGCCAGTGAATTGTGCAAAAATCTGTTCTCGAAGATCAGACCGAACCATTTACCACAGACAACACAGACAGTCTAGTGTACTCAGAATCAAACCCAGGACCTAAGAGCTGTGAGGCAAGAGAGTGAACTACATTGCCACTATGCTGGCCTCATGCAGAAATAGTCCTGAAATTGTGTTTTATATATGACTAGGGGATATTGTTTCAATAAGTTATAGTCCTTACAGCTCAGAACTGCCCTGATTTTCTATTGCTTCTTTGTTTAATTTCCAATTGCTACAGTCATTATCGATAAATGCACTGTCACCACCTACTAGCCTGATCTTGTGAAGGTTCGGAAGATAAAACTGGTCCATACTGGGATGGGAGACATTGAAGGAAAATCGGTTTGCTGCTGCAAGTTGTACTGCTACACCAGCATGTAGCACTCTGGCTGCTGAGCCAAAATTTCCAAACTATTGCCTCAGCAATGATGATCGGGGACACTGTTCTGTTCTGTATGATGTGCCATCCTTCAGATGAGATGTTAATTTGAAGTCTAGACTACTTGGTCTTTAAAGATCCCATTGCACTGTTAATAAGAGTAGGGTTGTTAATCCAGGTGTGCTGGATGAGTTCCACTATGAGCTTGTGCAACGCGATGTCCCTACGGTTCACCCTTAATTCAATTTGTGAAGCAATTCGACACTTCCACTGGGGGGCGGTACAGTGGCGCTGTGGCTAAGGATCTGCGCCTGACTGGAAGGTTGCTGGTTTGTATCAATCGGCCGTCAGAGGAATCCTCCTCTGTTGGGCCCCTGAGTAAGGCCCTTAACCCCAGCTGCTTCAGGGGTTCCGTATAAATGGCTGACCCTGTGCTCTGACCCCCAGCTTCTCTCCCTGTCTGTGTGTCTCATGGGGAGCAAGTGTGGGGTATGTGAAAGGTCAAATTCCTAATGCAAGAAATTGTGTATGGCCAATGAAGTGATCTTATCTCAGTGGGGCTGTTGGCTCAGAATGACTGTTCACAATGTGTGGGTTCCTTACCAGTGCGAAGAATCCATTGTCATTAATATCAGTCGGTACCATGTTTGTTAGATGACGTGCTGGCCTTATAAAGGAAAAGCTGTTATTAACGACCCACAGTGAAAGAAAAGTGTGAGAAGGCACGTTGCTTGGGAAATTTTGGCAACTCGGATTGTGAAATCCGAGTACAATGGCATGATGTGCAAAGGACAGGGCATTGCATTGCTGTACATTAGAGAGATAATGGTTTTAAAGGATACTAATGTGAAGAAAAACTGCTGAGTTGCAGATAAAGGAAGAGACTTAATGGACTTTCAAAGCACAGTCTCTCCAGAGTCGTTTATTGATCTGGAGACAGAACCTGTCAACATATTTGCTTCTAATTTCATCAATTTGTGATATTGTTCAACTGGTTTCAGGAGGAGGGGGCTTCATTTCACCTCTCAGGATAAATGTTCTTTCTTTTTCCCTGGGTTTACAGGCAGCACTGTACTTGAAATGCAGTTTTCCAAGGGATACAACTTGATAAAATCTATGAATCCATACTTTTGATTCCATACTTTAATTCCAGCGTTTTACACCTCAGCATCTTATATGACAAAGCATTCTTTTAAGTTTAATTTCTGTAAATATTATCTTATGACTCCAGTTTCCTTCCACAGACACAAGACTTACTGAAAACTGGTCCTCAGTGTGAGTTTGTGTGTGCCCAGAGATGGACTGGCGGCCTGTCCAGAGTGTATCTTGTCTTGCATGCATTGTTTGGCAAGTTAGGCTCCGACACCTCCATGACCCTGTATTGGATAAAAAGGTTAGAAATTAGATTGATGGATGGATTATCCTTTGATATATCATTCCCAGAAAGAAATGTGATAAATTGTGAAGGCACTTTTTGGTGCTCACTTTCTGTGGGGCAAATAAATCAGTATATCAAGGATAAGGAATGCAAATACATTCTGCTCGGATAGATTTTTCTACTGATATACAGGGACAGAAATAGAAAATGCTGAAATAACAACAGGTTGGGAGAAATTAAGTGCATCAGCGGTGAATACAGACAATACGTGAATTCATAAGGCTCTCTCTCCCCAGGAGGCTAATATGCTGTATGTCTGCATATGTTGTACTATTACAGAGGCAGAATATCATGGCTCTGCAGACCTCTTTGTGAACAATATAATGCAGTTCAATGTACTAGCACCTGTGATATACAGTACTGCAGCACTTATTTGTTGCACTTCTGCATAGGAGCATGCTCAGACAGGATCAGACGGGAGTTTGGCAATCCTGGCTTTCTGTCTTTTCCTGACTGCACACTGGCAGGATGAGACATGTGAAGGCTCTGAGTGGAGATATGAGCCCAAACTGGGATAGCCTTAAAAAACAAAGTGCAAACAAAGACTTCTGAAATTATTGCTACCCTTGGTCAAAAGTAATGGATTTTCGGCTGTTTCAGATACCCAGGAACTTCTTGCAAGACTTAATGCTAAATACTGATAAAGGCTGGCAATATTGTACCAAATCAAGTATCTTAACCTACAGTAGGTCATGAAGAAGCGTCTCTTGTATTATTATTTTTTGTGTAATTCAGTCATGCCTGTGACACTATAAGATTTTTATGACATAACCAAAGGTGCTGCAAGGCACAGCCCCTCAATCCAGTGACACCAGTATGCCACAGTGGAACAGGTTATACTACTTTCAGGAATATGAAGGAGTTGTTGGTGCCTAGAATAAACCTTAGTGCTCGAGAATAAATAACAGGTGTCCAGAATGTACAGTTGCATTTTTTGAATATTCTACTAAGCCATGTTGCTAAAGTGCAAACCAGTGACCTTTAAAAGCATCATTGAATTACACAATGAAATGCAATTGACCTACTGTATCTAACCCATTTATTCCCTTCCCCAGGGCACTGTGACCATACTTAGCTCCACACTCTGTTACTGTAATTTACCTAAAGGAAGTCCTGGAAAGAAACATGAAGTGTTTTCATGAAAATAATCAAAGTGTTTTGCTGGACCACAGAAAAAGAAACTGGCTAAAGTACAATGTTAATGGGAGACAAAAATGTATTTAAAATATCTAGAGGCCAACCATCAATCTTGTTACAATTGAGCACCATAAAATATCGTTCATTAAAGTTTAATCTCCTAATGGAAGGGCTTCTGTGGTTTTAGATTGCAAAACATGATGTTACCCTCATTCAAGAAAACATTTTGTCTCACATGTGAGTATGGTAACTGCAACAGAGCTTCCTGCCCGAAGAAGGGGGACAGGGAGCTGGAGGAAAGGTACTCATACTCACAACCACCCAGGCTTATCGGCCGGAGCCAAAGAGTGCCAACAGGAAGGAAGCTTCAGATCTTGCCATTTCTACAGATAGTGACAGCCGGAAAGTTCCAGGAGTGTGACAGGAACTCTGCTAAGTCCACATTGCACAACTGTTCAAGAAACATAATTCATGAGACTCAGAAAAAAAAATTCAATTGTAATACCTTTTTACTTCTGTGTACTTCTTTATGATATGAAACCGATAAATAGAACGGTGATTTATTCTTCCTTCTGAAATTATGCCCGTTACATCCCTGCCACTGCCCTCCCAATGAAAATAAATAAAAAGGAAAAATTGGGGTTTAGAAACAACACTAATTAAAATGGTGGACAGCTTGTACTGGTTCTAATTTCCTCTTCTGCAACAAGTGAAAATATTACCTTTCATTTCAAGCTTGTATATTCAACAGAGAAAATGGGACTCAGTTTGTGCTTGGAAGGTGGCCTCTGAAAATTAAATGACCCATGAGTTTTATAGCTGGACAGTTCCTCTTGCAGAAGGTCTTGCAGTCACTGTTTTGCCTGTGTCGAGGTTTGAAGCAGGAGTAGTAAAATACAGTGAAGGTACCAGACAGTGCATGTCAAGTGCAGTCAAAAGGAACACTGAACAGCTGGTCGGCATGGTAACAGTTAGGGCCTGCAGTTAAAGTCAGTTTACAAAGCCATTGTTTATCTTACCAGTTTTACTTTTTCCCCAGTTTATATACACGTTTCTCCCGGTCGTTTATAATAAATGTATACGTCCCAGATAGCATCTTACTGTAACTTTAATCAGGTCTGTTTATTTCACCATTTAATCAAATGTGTTTGTAATGCATGGGCTAGGCCCCACTGTCTCAGGAAACCTTTTCCTGCGTTTTCATGATGACTTTTTTTTACAGAGAGTGATAAGAGTTTTAAGACACGGCATCAGGGAAATGTCAGTAGAAGTTGTTCGTACATGATGACAGTCAAAGATATGTTGTTTGGTGGCCATCAGATGATCTTTGTGAAGTGTGATTCTCAACCAGAGTTCTTGCACAGACAAAAGCACAAAGACAGGTTGTCACAATAAGCAAATTTTTTGTATCCTCTGTCTAACAGATTATTCTGGCCATGAACATTAAGGAATAACCAATTTTGTCTGTTCCCCTTTTTAATGATGGAATTTAATCTCTGAGTCTCTGAGATTAAATCATCTCTGAAAATAAAAGTAATGACTCGGTTTTTGTAAAATGCCTGACATGAATAATACTCACTTTGCTACTCTGTTTCAGGTGGGGGAAGATTTTACTTAAACTGTGTTATGTGTAACATTAGCAAACACAGCATGAAGAAGACTCATATTTATCATTCTGAAACATTTTCATAGTCTGTAATCATAGACCAGAAACATCCACATGATGCAATGAGATACAGTAATTGACTAGCTTCCCTCCAAGGGTGATGGATCTTAAAGGTTATTACCGAACACAGAGAAGAGGGAAGGGATGAAGCCCTGACCTTTTAATGCAGTAATAAAATGTCATTTGTTAAAACTACCCCAAACAAGCCATCTGAACAGGTGACTGAAAATGATAACATCTGAACAAAACAAAAGGACACACTGCCTAGCTAAACACACTGTGGCAAAGAATTGGAAGATAAACACATCAAGTGAAGGGTGTTAGCCACAATCTGAAATCACTGGAGATGACATGTTCCCTTAGAAAAAGTGCCTGAGCAGAGCCCTAGGCAGGAGAGCACAACAGCAAACTAAACTAAGTGAAGCAGAAAGAAAATGCATTCATATCTGGAAGCCTGGCCTTTTGCAGGTGCAACGAGGAATGGCATTTGAGCACAGACATAATTATGTGTGTAGAGAAGTCATTCAGAGCTGAATGCCAGCTGGAGAAACCAGGATCGGGCAGTGCATGATGTTTCTTATTCGATTCAGAACCGTTCAGAATCCAGCTACAGCTGAGTACGTTGAACAACCAATTGAACATTGTTGGTTGCTTCTGGAACTAGGAAAAACAAAGCACATTTTTTATCTTTCATTTTTATTTTTTAAATAATAATTCTTGCAATTATACGGTGCTTTTCCAGCAGATGGACCCTTTAGCGGTTTGCATTTTAGTGACACACTGGGGAAACTTGCACCAATCTTCATCTGCTGGCAACCCCACTACACAGCAGATCAGCTGGAATAGTGACACATCTCCAGATGAATGGGATTTAAAAGCCTTTCTCTTCCAAACAGGGCCAGGGGATCTGTAATGACAAAGTAATTAATAATTGCTTACACTTATATAGGGCTTTTTCTGGACACTCCACTCAAAGCGCTTTACAAGTAATGGGGATCCCCTCCACCACCACCAGTGTGCAGCCCCACAAGGATGATGCAACAGCAGCCATAATGTGCACAGTACGCTCACCACACACCAGCTCTCAGTGGGGAGGAGAGCAGAGTGATGGAGCCAGCTCATAGATGGGGATTATAGGGAGGCCATGATTGGTAAAGGCCCATGGAAAATTTGGCCAGGACTCCCAGGTAACACTCCTACTCTTTTCCAGAAACACCCTGGGATTTTTAATGATCACAGAAAGTCAGGACCTCTGTTTTATGTCTCATCCGAAGGACGGCGCCTTTTTACAGTATAGTGTCACCGTCACTATACTGGGGCATTAGGACCCACACAGACCGCAGGATGAGCGCCCCCTGCTGGCCCCACTAACACCTCTTCCAGCAGCAACCTTAGCTTTCCCAGGAGGTCTGCCATCCAGGTGAGTTTCAGGGTGAAATGGCTGCTGGCAGTCATCTCATACAAAGGACAGCACCTCCTGAGTCATAGTGTCCCTCGTCACCCCACTGGGGCTTGAATCAGGCATCTTAAAGATTCCAAAAAGGGACAGGACCTCTAAAAAAAGCTCTTTTTTGCTTTATCAAAGTAGGTTTCTGAGATCATAGAGTAATGACTGCAGATGTCTTCACAGTGTCATTGAACTCCCTTATTACATGTGGTAATCAAAATGTAAACAAGCTCCCAGAAAAAAAAACGCAAAATTAGAATAAAGTTAAAAGTGTATACTACTCTTCTCATAATAAAAATATATTTTTTTAAAAGTGTTAAATTGCTGCCACAAAGCTGAGCATTTTTATTTTTAGGTCATCAAGACATCTAGTATGTGTAGATAAAAAGAGAGGTCATTCTCGACTCCCTGGCACGTTAATTTTACTCCACTTTCCCACAACAATGAATTTGAATTCCTTGCTTTTGGAAAAATTGCTATAAAAATATCTCAATTAAAAACACTGCAAGACTTAATTTATTGTATGACGTGTACTCCTTTCAGACCAAAAAAAGCAATTTAGGATGCTTTTATCAGCAGAGTTGCAGGGTAGCTGGGTCTGTGGGAGTTTGAGACTCTCTTGATGGAAGAGGACTGCGGGCAGGTTTAACAGCTGGCTGGGAGCAGGGCTGTTGCCTCCTGATTTCACAAACACCAGTTTCTCCGCTTGAATTTAATTGCTCAGTTGCCTGGTTTTCAGTAGCAGCTAGTGTACATGGTTTCACAGAAGAGCCCTTTCCCGGTGATTAACATCCTAATTTACTGAGGGAGTGTGGCTCCCGATAGCTTGGGCTGCTGGGATTTGTTACTCCTTAGTGTAGTGACTCGCAAGTAAGGTGGGACAACATCCACAGCATTCCATGCTCTCACCTGCCTTATTGCTTTATCACAATGCATTGAATAAATAATACAAATGGGAAATCTTACCAGTTCCTAAAGTTTTAATATAATTTTGAGATGTCACTTTTATCGACCGGAAATAGTCCCTCTGACCATTTAAAATTCCATTTACTCTCCTTTAAATTCACTGTATGTTTCGAGGAAGAACGTGTAACCTTTATTCTGATGCATTCAACTAGTCATTCCTGAATTTTAATTGCTGCATATAGTATATACACATACATGTATACAGTATATCTTTACTAGGTGATGCTTTCATGCGTTTATTTTTGTGTACTTGAAGTTGAATGTTACCAGTAATTACAAGAGAAACATCCAGGCCGAAGCTGGAAGATATTCTAGGTTTTTTCTGGTCGTGGCACGGAGAGTTCCCCCGTCAGGTCAACATAAAACAAAGTATTTTGTATTATTAAAATACAGCTAGGCTGAGCAACGCGTGAATGAGCCACAGTACAGCAGATACATTGATTCCTCCGGTTAAACCTGACCTTTATGTAAGAATAATAATAATAAAAAAGATTGCTTGGTAATGCATTCTGCTTCTTCCAGTGTTAATCATTTTTTTAATATAGAGCATCCACAGAAGAAGAAAAAAGTTCAGCATATTAATTTTCTACGCTTGCGTTTGCTGTTAACACGTTCGTGTCAGTCCTTCAAACCCAGTGAACTTTCATTGAAGCCAGATGGAAGAGCAGAGTATCTGATTCATGAGCGCTGATGAGGGATATTAAAAATCTCACGTTCCTAGAAATTCCTTAACCTGGAAACTAGCTTTTCCTTCCCGGCAGTAGACCCTGGGGGCGGCACAGCCCTCTCCCCTCTGAGCGGCAGGAATGACCAGAGGACAGCTGTGCTGCTTCAGCCTGTCGCCCCGTGAATTTCAGTCAGGAAGCTGCGAAGGAAAATCACCACTAGCTATTTGAGCGAGCGCAACACAATCCTAAAACATCCCATGTACAGTTTCATGACAGTGTCTTTTCCATTTTAACCTGAAGGAAGCACTTCGGGTGAATCACAGCAACGAGCAGCTCAGCCGTTTTTGTTTCCGCAAAACTAAAGTTATGTCACCTCATTTGCCCAACCTCTTTATACTGTAACGCATACGGCCTCCATTGCTTGCGAGAGCTGGCGGTGAATAGCAAGGACCGCAGCCGCTGGGCTGATGGGAGATTTCCCTTTGGCTCAAGAGGCTGGGTCCCTGTAGAGTGATCCCGGAGGCCCGCGTTCGAGTCCCCGACGGTTGGGGGCCGACTTGATGCGGCAGCGGCGAGGGTGCCCACGTGAACCCCATTGGGTGTTATGGGGAGCCGGAGCCTACCCAGCAAACAACGAGCGCAAGGTAGGGTACACACTGGACAGGACACCAGTCCATCGCAGGGCCAGTGCAAGCCAGTCATACATGGGGATAATTTGGAGGCCATGGGGGAAATTTGATCCAGACACCAGGATAACTCCCCACTCTTATCAAGAAATGCCCGGGGATCTTTAACGACCACTGGGAGTCAGGACCTTGGTTTAACGTCTCATCCGAAAGATGGCGCCCACTACAGTACCAGTATACCACTATACAGGAGCATATGGACCCACACAGACCACATGGTGGGAGCCCCCCACTGGTCCCACTAACACCACTGAAAGACTTGCTGTGTAAGGTCTGTGTGTGCAGTCCTTTCACAGACATGTAAGTAGTAGTACACAGGTCAAAAGCAAAGGACACTATGAATTTTTGTCACACACACCAAGAGCCACTGTAAAGCCTCTCTTTTCATGAAATACCTTTGATTCTAAGATGACTAGCACTGTGATGTCCTAGGGTGGAAGTCATGACACATACAGTACATAGGGATCATATTAACAT